GTGGATACCGTGTCACATTTTTAAACTGTCAAAAAATTTGCCACGGCAGTCACGGTGCGGATGAGAAACCTAGTAGGCCGTCGTAAAACGGGGTGAACGTAACAAAACGCGACAGTCCGTAATAGGCCGTAACAAAACTTGGAGGTGGTCCGTAGTGGGACGGGAGGCCCGCACATTCCCCGGCATCTTACGGTCTGTTCAAGTTTTGTCACGTTCTGCCACGTTTAGTGCACGTTTTGTCACGGTTGCTTCACGGTTGCTGCGCATTTTGTCCCGTTTTGCCACGGTTTGCCACGGTTTGCCACGGTTCTCACGGCAGACCAGGGTGAATGGTAGCCGTTTTGTCGCGTTAATCACGGCGCATCCCGGCGTCTGACGGTTTACGGGCGCGGCGCGTTGCGTTCTGACACGGCGCACGCGGTCGGGAGGTAGTAAAGACGGGCGCGGCAGGAGCTTCATTCGAGTCTGAGCCATCGACGACACATTACTGCCTCTAAAATACGAAGAAAGAAGGTCAAGCTATGCCACCGAAGAAGCCGAGACGTTCGAAAACCCTCCGTCCTGCATCACCACCACCACCAGTAGTGCTTGGGAGGCCTTCTTTTTATACCGTGGGCATAATCGTGCTCCAAAGCTGCCCGGCGTCCCGGCCCCCCCCCCCCCCCCACTCAGAGGTCGGAATGACCGCATGCGTGTTGCCAAAATGTCCGGTAAAGGGGTACTTTTCGTGCGACAAAGTCCGGCCCGAGAATTGTAAAAAAAGGGGTGTATTTGACTTTTCACCCGGAGATTTCTTTAAAAAAGGGGTGTTTTTCTTTTTTTCTCTGATCTCTTTGGACTCCTGAGAAATTATTCCGAATTTAGGGGGGTACATTGAGCATTTTTCCTGATTTAGGGGGGTCTCCAAGGCAGGAAAAGCCCGCGAAAAGCCCGCGAAAGGGGGGTTCGGAAATGTTGGCAGTCCTCAGATAGGGGGTGCTTTCAAAAAGAGGGTACGAGCATATGCGTACCCTAAATAACACTGAGTGGGGGGGGGGGGGCCTGGCCCGGCGTCCATGTTTCATCCGTAGAAAGCCTTGACAGAACGTGAAAAACGTGTCAGAACTTGATCAGAACGTGAGAAACGTGAGGGACCCCATCAGAACGTGACGGGCCGGGAGGGAACGTTCTGTCATCCATGGTAGAACGCGGGCCGAACCGGAGTGCGCCTTGGAGCCTCTGGGACTCAGCATCCCCTTCCCCCCACGGCCCGTCACGGATACCGTGGTAGACCGTGAGAAATCTTGGCAAGACTTAACCAAACTTGAATCCAGAGATAAAATTGGTCTAAATCCCACGACGCACTACGTTTCGGGCAAACGGGGCTGCCGTGGCCGCCGGGAACATAATGTAAACGTAGCATTAGGAGTTTCCCAGCGTTCCCTATTTCGCAGGACCGCTCGGCAAACTCGATAGCCGTCTCGAACTGAGACGCCAAAGACTTTTGTTATCAAAGGCGTTGTTTCCCTGGTGGCGAAGTTGTTGTGTCCGCTCTTCGGTTTGTTTCTCCAGCTCGGAAACGGCCCCATCGTGCCTATTCTGAAGCTTTGCACGAATGTCACGAAACAACATCGAGATCTCGGACGACGTTTTTGCCTTTCGATCCCGGGTCTTGGAAATCTCGGACTTGATTCTCTCTCAGATTTCCTTCACCGCCTGAGCGAGACTCTGCAACTCCTCCTTATAACCTCGGACGATTTCTGGTCCAGATCGACGACACGATGTCCGTGATGGGCCGTCGGCACATATGCCAGGCACATCGGCCGTTGGCTACCCTCTTCGTTGCGGAACACGGACAATTCTTGCTTGTGCTGCTCACACTGAATCTTGTGCCGGGGAGGCAGAATCTCAAGCTGCTTTTGCAGATCCTCCACTGAGCACACGGGATGGTCGTCGAATTTTCACATCGTGCGGTGGGCTTGTTGACATGCAGTCACATCAAGACCTATATAATAAATAAATAATAATTTAAAGTTGAATATGTCCTCAAGTTTGTGTCCATATTCAAATAACAAGATTAAACATGTTCAAATATATATTTGATTTCACTTTTCATAATATAATTATACAAAATGCAATTAGCTAAATATCATTTGAAACAAACAAGTCAGAAAATCTTCTATAAAAACTATCAATCCCTCTAAGGGTCAGGGTTAAGGTTATACAAATCATGCAATCCCATCTTTCATCAACCCATCGTTTGCTCAATCGGTAAGGTAAGCGAACGATAATCCTAGAGTACTGGGTTTGAAACCCAATAATTACTCCTTTCTACTTTCTATAATCAATGTTGTTGTTGCTGTTGTTTTAATTTTTTGGCGTGTTACATTTATTTATGAATATTTACGCCAAATTCAACAAAATTAAATGGAAGCAGAAGCAAGAAGGAAAAAAATTACGCTGTTCAATTTTTTTCTCAAAAAAAGGTTAAAACAAAGACGCAAGCGAACTCGACATGTACACGTGTACACTAAGAGTGCACATCTGCTCCCTCTAGGGGGCAAGTTTGCACCCCAAAGTATCTATGGGATGCTGCTTTTGTGGAAAATGTCTTCGTCCCTTACGGGTGCACGTATGCTCCCTCTAGGGTGTAATTCTGCACCCTACTTCGGAGCATATGTGCACCCATAATTATGTGCAGGTGTACACGTCGAGTCCGCTTGCGTCTGGACCATGCTTCTCTTAAAATATTTCACCCAGACTGACTGAAGACCCATGCCACCATTTTGATTGGATCATATGAATTGAAATGTCTGCATACGGTGGGGTTGATGAGGGGGGGGGGCGCAAGAGGTTAATGCCGGGTCTGCCCTTTTTATTGATGGATACGCCACTGATCTCTATATGCCAACCTCTTTAAGTTTATCCACTTATTTGTAAATATACCCCACCCCCTACTTTTTGTTATATTCAATCTGCCTTTCTCTCTTTACTCCTTACCGCCCTCTTTCCAACCCATCGAAATAACATGACTGCTCGTCGAACCAATTAACCGATAAGTTGACTACAGATGCGGTTGATAAATCTGAAAAAGACTAACTCATTAGCGCCAGCTACTGTTGAAGATCTAGCTCGCCCACGATCATATCGGCAAACTATCGGTAGCTCAATTTCATGTCGTCTGCAATGATTCGGTTATTAGAAAAATGTTGATAATGTGGCTAATATTCAAACAGTCATTTTACAGCGTTAAGATGATCCAATGATCTCAGGAAAAATATACTATACAATTACCATTTAATATTCATTATCGTGGATGTAGGGACTAATACATTCCCTTTTTCCAGTTTCCATAATGGAAAACGATTGAATCAACCGATATTGATCGCTGATACTGATGACTAATATAAATATGGAATGTGCCTTTGACCGGAGCTACGCGGTAGTCATGGAAACGCATGTAATCATTTTGATCTTATGTACATGTATGCCGCACGCTTCCATTCACCGATTCGATACAGGTGGTGCGTGCCGGGTGCGTTATGACTGAAATTACTATTTCATCAGCTCACGTCCCTTTTCCCGCTCGTTATTAATTATGAAGTATGTACAATATTATATAGTAAATTATATAATATCAGTCGGTAACAAACAGGATCCTCAGGAAGAACAGCATTAACGTTGATAAGGCTTACCTGGGTAAACGAAATTATTACATTATTCCTAAAAAGATCTACAACATGTCTCGTGTGTGTGCCTGTCCCCTTGATATAATTACTGCAATCTTTAATCCTCAATCTTCAATTAGCTACAGAAATTTCACTATACATGTCACGTAAGTTGCTAATTAAGATTAATTTGGATTTTGTCGATCCGTATCAATCTCTCTTTTTTTGAATGTGTGAAGCTTTATTCAAGTCGGATGTGTGCTACATAATTATACATGTACAAAAGTGAGAATGTAGGGCACATGCTATAAAACTATCGGAAGAAAATTTATAGGTTTAATGAATAGTAAACTTTTTTTGTCCTAGGACAATTAACCCCTGGGTAATCGCCCCCGGCCAATTAACAACGGGACAACCACCCCGAGGACAATTACCCCCTCTAGGACAATAGAAAGAGAAAGAGAAAGATATAGAGATAACGAGAGGAAGAGAGAGAGAGAGAGAGATAGAAAGATAAAGAGAGAAGGGGTAGACAGAGAGAGAGAGAGAAAGAGGGGAGTGAGAGAGGAGGGAGAGAGAGAGAGAGAGAGCGAGAGAGAAAGAGGGGGGAGGGGGGTGGGGTGGGATGGTGTAAGGATATCGTAAAAGTTCAAAGTAGATGTTTGAAGTTTCACCACGTTATTTTCACATTTAAGTTAGATATTCAACACGGGTCTGCAGGAGAGATTGGTATATTATAAACGATTAATATAGGGTCTACATCTCCATGGATTCTAGGAATTCACAGTTTCCTCCCTTCACTCTCTCCTCCCCCCCCCCCCTCTCTCTCTCTCTCTCCCTCTCTCTCTCTTTCCCCTTTTACCAATATTTGTTCCACCATATTCGTATTATTATGTATCCATTGAGGGTAGTCATGCTATCAAGATTTGCTTACTTTGTCAACCCTCCTGTTTGATGGTTTCGATTAGTTACTTTATTCGACATTATATTCTTTTGAAATGTGTAAATTTGCAATGTTTTGTTTGTTATATATTTGCAAAATGCAAAAGAAAAAGAAAATCAAACAGAAATAAATAAATCAAATCAAATCAAATCATATTATTACTTCATCTTCCTCCCCATCTCTCTTTCTCTCTCTCTCTCTTTCTCTCTCTTTCTTCATCTCCCAGTGTAGGTTTGTCATGTATGCATAATGCATGTTAGATTCTGTTGGAATGAAGAGTGAAAACAATTCACCCGGTTTGGGCGTAGGCCTACTTCGTTTTAAATTTAGGACGAATTGGGACTCAGTAGAAGTTTATATATATATATATATACAAAATTAAAAAGAAACGGAATGAAGATTATAAGTATGAATCCTCAAGCATGGTCTTTATTTCCATAATTTCAATACATGATCATTTACATTCATTACTCAGTGATTGAGTGAAAAATAATATTGGCTAAATATTAAAGTATATTCAACAATTCTTCAGCTTAGTATTAATTCCTTATTACCTTCAAAACAATCTCAGCAACGACTTGTATTGAAAAAGCAAAGCATGCGGGTAAATAACAGAACCATTGACAATCCTTTTAACGTAATATTTATTAATTGCATATTGAGCATAATCAAAAATAATATTCAGAAGACTATAGGCCTATAGGTCCTTAGACACAACTGATATATGTTGGTTTATTTGTATTTCTACGTGGAATAGGTGAAATATCAAATTACATATCATTTTCCAAAACATAATCACATCCTTGCAATATAACATATAGTGAATCAAATTGTCAACAAGTGTTGCATAAATTATTATTCACATTTTGCCATTCATGTACATTTTCTTTTGAGGCAATAAACCTGTGAATCATCTTGAAATTAAACTGTTTAACTTTATTATTACGAATTTGCTTTAATTTAAATGAAAATACATCCTTCCAAACAAAGTCATCACCTAAATCTAGAAAGGAATTCCAAAAATAAATGACAATTGGTTTTTTAAACTTCATCCATATTAACAAACGCTAGTAATCTTTCACTTTCAAAAGAAGATCATTTACTTTATCCCCTGTTTCTATTTTATTAAGATTCGAAATATCACATTCATCTTCAAAATCATTGACATTCCTCAATCTATCTAACCGACACTGCGGAAATGCTTTCTTTAATTTTGTATATTCAAAATCAAATAGGAGCTGTTGTGCGTTCATTTTTATTAATAAATTAAGAGTCATTCCAAATACCAGTTGTAATCACTAAATGAATTTTCAATAAGCCGGCATCTTGCAATTATCGAGAAAACAATATGTTTTCTTAAAGGTAATCTTACTATTTTTCCAAATAATTTCATTTAGAATATTTCTTACTTTAAACATATCAATGAATCTTAGTTCTGACCAAGTACAAAAAAGGTCCACATACAATTCTGGCAAATTATGTTTAGAGCATAATCAATTCATATATTTTATATTAAAATTGAACAAAGTGGCAAACAATTTTGTCTGACCAGTATCTAAACACATTTTTCAAATTACAGATATTCATGCCAAACGAAGTAAAGATATTCAATCCATCATTTTCAATATCATTTATAATCACATTACGTTTAATTTTTTTTTTTGAATTCCATAAGAGACAAAACAATAGTCTATTCAATATCTGTAAAATGTATTTTGGTACTGGTACAACAGTTGCGGTATGACCAATTTGTGACGCTGCTAACATTTTCAAAACAATTATTGTACCAGATGTAAGATCTCTCATTTTCCACATATTTAATAAATTTCGAATTTTATCTTTTTTCACGTTCCAGTTTAAATCTTGTAACAGTTTCCTATTTTCGCCCACATAATATACTCCTAAATATTTAACAGGTTTATCCGTATATAATGTCATTATCATAACAAAATTGTATCTACAATATTCAGTTTTACAACTTCTGTCTTATTCGAGTTTATTTTCGGACCTGCATAGTCTCTAAAATCGTTAATTTCATTCATAATTGTACATATTTTGTCTTACTTTTCTTACATTTCCACTTCAGTAACTACTAAAATCATGTATATAGTTTGATTAAAAAAGTACCATAATTTTGCCATTAAAAGTCCATAAGCACGAAATCTTAATTAATATAGATACAATATTTGAAGTGTATTATAGTGTAAAATTACCTGCACCAAGGACCATTCTTTTCAATAAGTAAACCACATTCGCACATCAACTCCTCACCAGCTCTTTTCGTCCATTACAATAACATTGGACTTTCATTCCATCTATATAATGGTTTTACAGTATTTCGCGCAGGGTATTGAAATAAACGCAGTTTTTGGATAACATGAAATCAGGTATCATGCGATATTTACAACGCTACATAAAACGTATATTACTTTCGCTAGAACCAACTCGGATAAAACAACCTTAAGATTAAAAATATCATATTGCATTAATACAAAAACCTTCGAAATAAGAAAACAAAGGATTAAAATAATTGAAAGGAACCACAGGTATTTGCTTATGTTACACCACAATGAAAACCCACTGCATAATAAAATTAGAAAATCGCTTTATTGTTGCATGTCCATTTTATAACTCTGAACACCAAAAAACTACCCCATTCCAAAGACAATTACGATGATCAAGTAATTCACATGTGGATTTAAATGGTCTCCTAGGGGATACAGAATGTTTGTTTTCGTTGTGCGATGTAAAATAGCCATCACGTTGTCATTGCATTATCCATATTAAACATGAACCCACATGATAACATCAATCGTTTACTTTACATGAAAACGTTTTACCTTAAATATATACCAACTTGATTCGGAAATAAAGAAGGATGTATGCCTACGTGCAACATGATAGATATACGAATTCAGGAATCACTATGTCGTTCCGTAGCTCATTGTATGCCATTCGTACTGCGAATTAATCACCTTGGCCTTTCCAACAGATGACAGGAGAATACCCGCGAACTCTTTTGGAAAAGATTTCCTAAAACAATCGGTGCACATGTGTTTGGAATCTAATCTACGGAGATAAGTGATGAGCCACTCGCCCCTTTCGATTGTTACTGACCTCTCAGACCCAGCGCTGGCTGTCGGTCCCTTCGGACCGAAACCCACACCAACCTTCTTCGAAATGGTGACGGTTTCTTTTCCCAAAGCCTGCTTCATAAATGCATACGTCTGCTGCCCCATGCAGGCCACCAACTCACAGAGGAGTGTCACGCCACATTTCGCACACTTACAGTCCTTTTCTTTGGCATTTGGGTACCATGTCTCCAGTCCAGGTATTGAGTTTGCGCCACCCATTTTCGTTTATGCAGGTTACGTGATTAGTTTAAGTGTGAGGCACTAGGTGGCGGTTCTCATAACTCAGCAGCAATGACTAGAAACAGAAATCCGTAAAAAGAAATATATAATGTACTGCTAAAAATATAATGATAAAACGCAACATATTATCACCCAGACCCATCTTTGTTTTGAACAATAGCATAATGTTAAACGGGATTATGGAACTCAATGTTTCCACAGTTGACTGGAAAAATAATCTAAATTCAAGAGAATCACCTTAGACTATAACACTATCGAATTGCGTGTAACCGAAATTAACTCCGAAGCTTGCCTTAAACCAGCTTTTGTTAATTATTTACATTTTTAAAAAAAGTTCACCTCGACATGTACACTTATGAAAACATCACCCATAGGCATTCCGAGTTCATGTTCTTATTTTTAAAAAGCAAGATAGCAAATATATTTGCACAGGCCTACCTAATACAGGGTGTCCCCCAAAAGGAAACCGAAAAACAAAAGGATATTGTGACGTGTCCCTTGAGCCGGCCTATTTTTTGTCCGGATGTACTCGGGTTTAACGCCAAAGTGGCTCAAGGGATTTTTCACACACACTTTTTAAGACAATTTTGTTCAGGCAAGCATGAAGGGGTGCAATCAAGATATCATATCGTTTCTTCATAATATCCTTTCGTTTTCGGGTTTCCAATTTTTGCGTCACCCTGTAAACCAACAGAGCTTACCAACGTTTCAATCCTGAACTCGCCAAATTTCGACGGCAGCTTTCTGAGGAAACAAAGATAAACATGATAAAAATGTTAAAACAAGCAGCAAAAGATATTTCCAATTCCCAACCGTAACTTCTTTAAGTAACAACATATTACGTCTCTTGTGTGAATGGCTAACTTTCTACTCCCCTCTCACCACCGTGTGTTTTTCCTGTCTGTGACCAATGTATGCACAAAACATGTGGCAACTGACAAGTACAGGGAAAATTGGTCAACGAATGTGGATCATAATCAAATGATTGGTTTAAAGCATACACGTGACCTGGATATTATTTTGCCTAACGCGTAATTTGGATAATGACCGGTCATTATCAAAATCATGTTATAAAACATCATTTTATAAAACAAATCATACAAGTAAAACAAATAATAAACATCATTTTTTCGGGCATTAATAAAATTGCCCACACTCGTACCTTCACAACATGTCTTCACCATGGACGTTATGTTTTGGACTTTTTTTAGAGAGAGAATTTGAACAGTAAAGCGTGGTGATCAGGCATGAATATGCAACGTAGTGATATCCCCAACGCTCGCGGCTACCGGTATACGAAGATATTGATATTTGCAACAACAGTCTAATGTAGGCCTACATAAAGTTGCCATGCCCCGAAGGTTGTAGGACACCTACCCCTGGACATCCAACCCCGGATAACTACCCCTAGAAAAACTACCTCCGGACAACTACCACTCGGATAACTACCCCCCCCCCAGACAACCATCCTCTAAGACAACTATCCTAGGGGTTATTTGTCCGGGGGGGGGGGGGGTAGGTGTTCCGGGGGGGGGGGAGGTAGTCGTCCTAGAGGGCGGTTGCCCTAGGGGGTAGTTGTCCTAGAGGGAACTGGCTGGGGGTGGTTATCCGGGGTGGATGTCAATGGGGTAGGTGTCCGGATACGTTTTCATACAGATTCGCAAACATGCAACCATCGCCATCGTTCCCTGACGTCTTGGTCCAAGACTAAGTCAGCAGACACAAACGTAGGTCAATATTGGGCTAATTCCAAGTGGCAAATACATTGGGTCAATTTTAGAGGCTAATAATTGGTAGAAATAGGTCATTATTGTCTCCATATACGTTTTGCCCATTGGCTAAAAAAATATTGGTCCTATTTGGTCAAAAAGCAAGTCAATAAAATTGGCGTATCATTGGCTGAACGGTATAGTTATCGAATTTCATCTAATATTTATATAATATGGAATGGCTTTGAGTGGGATACAAGAATGTATTCAATTGATTCAAATGATCTTATTTCTCATGCAAAACATAATACAATGAATAATTTTATTACAAAAATATGCAATGAAACGACAAATACAATAGAAAAAGCACGAGAAAAGAGGAACTAAATAGAAGCAGAGCTTCTTGAAGTGTTAGTTCCTCAGATGCTATGACAATATTTATGTAATATCACATGAAAACAAAACCATAGAATATTATTATTATCTATATCAGTCTCACTAGCGAAATAAACAACATTTGACTCGATAATCAAGCAATATTGTATCGACAGTTGAAGCTCCCGGATGACAGAGCAATACGACAAAAATTATTGATCCGTCATCCGAGTACTGCGCCTAATGTATTAAATACACTAATTATTATTTTACCACTTGGAAGCCTTATATATGCAGATAATGAGAGAGATTTTATTATTATGCGCTACATAAAAACGAGACTTTATTATTGTCCGACTTTGCTCATAGATACGTTGGTACGACCCGATCACTCATTTAAGGCCAACATTTGACAAAACTAGACTAAATAATTTGAACTAAATCTATCTTTAATTGGCCTAGAGACCAAACACCAAACATGTCACGTCACAGTGACCCATAAACAGTCAGTGGGCTTTTTGATAGCCTTATGCACACTCAACACACAAAGCAGGTTCCCCCGAGTTCTTTTTTTTTTGGTATTACTTAAACAGAATTGTAAGGATTGTTGTCACTTAAAGACTGATGAATGCACACATTTCCTACGCACAAAATTATTGGTGACAATTGGCCAACAGACAGCGTTTTCACTACGAAATCATGCATTTTATGTAATTGGGTGCAAGAAAAAAAGTCGACTTCAACGTATACAATAAAATTATATATTTTTTTAAAAATTTAGATTCCTTTGAACACGTATGATTAACATTTATTATATTTATTTCATTACATTTTATTATATAGTTTATGTTTAATTGTAACATACTTTTTATTTCTTGTCTTTGCTATTAATTTTGATAAGTAGCTTTGTTACAATTTTCACAGAATCTCACTGTTCTCTTTCAATATATGTTTTGATGTTCGTATCTAATTTTAACCAATTCAACTTTTTAAAACGTTTTACCTGTCCAATGGCCTGTAAACAACGGATAATCTGTGGATAATTTTAGAAAACGGATGAATAACGGAAGTAACTGGATTGAAACTTACCAATCAATACTTCTCAGTTTGAATTACAATGTTATGTATTTTCCAAACAAAATAATGAAGTAGGTGAGTATTCTGATTGCGTGTCAAAATCAGTGGTCTTCATTTAAGTGGTAATTGAAGTGTGGTTTGAAATGAAGCTGCTCGCAAAGCTGACATACTCGTATTATAACTCCTTAAAGCTCGTCTGTACTAGTTTGGCTATGAGGGATTAGACCACCCAGGGTGGTCACTGACAGACAGGGGCGTAAATCCCGGGGGGGATGGGGGGCTGCATCCCCCTGGCTTGAAGTAGGGGGGATGGCATGTACAAACATCCCTCCTGATATTACAACAAAAAGAGAGGAAAAAAAAAGGAAGAAGAAGAAGAAGAAGAAAAAAATGTGATTGTTTCAATTTCAGCATAATGCATGAGAAATGAGTTATTTTTGTATGTATGTATAACTGTATAGCCTACACGTATACAGTATGTCACTATCATTAAAGGGAAAGTCCACCCCCAAAATAAGTTTGTTTCGATAGAGGCAGAATAATAAGAAAATCAGGTGAGTGAAAGTTTGAGCAAATTCTGAATGAAAATAAGAAAGTTATGAATTATTGAAGTTGTGATCAATCAAATACAAATTGGCAACTCTGTGACTTATTATACGAGCTCTCATTCATTTGCTTTGTGCATAATATTCCATAAAATCACGTTTTCTTCGTTATTGATGACGGAATATATATTTGTTCCTTGCAGGGGGAGTATAGAAACATATTTGCAATTATTATATTTAGGGTGCATGTATGGTTGAAATTTTTCTTGAGGGAAAATGAAAATTTTAGATTTTTTTTAGTACTGAGCAAATGGAAGTTGAGCTCGCATGATACGTCATAGAGTTGCCAATTTGTGTTTGATTGATCACAACTTCAATAATTCATAACTTTCTTATTTTCATTCAGAATTTGCTCAAACTTTCACTCACCTGATTTTCTTATTATTCTGCCTCTATCGAAACAAACTTATTTTGGGGGTGGACTTTCCCTTTAAGAATAGTTGTGTGACGTGCGCGAACAAGCACTTCATAAAATTCAGAATAATAAGAATCCCACTGTATACACAAAATGCATTGGGCCGCGCCCCGGCCGGCCGGCCACGCAGTCTTCTGCATATTGCACCGCATGCATGCTCCGCTCTCTTGCGATAGCAGTGCAGAACAATTTTTCCCGCCCGCGCGATCTAGGGGAGGTAGGGGGCCAATAGGTTACCGTGACGACTGCACTGATCTTGATTGCGCCGTGTGTGGTCGAACGGTCAGTATAAAGCGCCGTTGCAGGTTAGACCGTTTCAGGAACATTCTAAAGTTCGCCTTCTCGTCTTCTTTCTATAATAATTAAATCAAACGTCTAAGCTTTTCGCGCTTCGCGCGGGAAGGGGAAACTGAATTAAGACGAGAATTAAGAGTCGAGAACAGTACACCCAATCGTCTGCTTTCTCTAATAATTTAAGGAAACGTCAAGGCTTCCGCGCTTCGCGCGAGAGGGGGAAATTGAATTCAGATAAATAGGGCTTATCAAGAGTCGAAAACGGTACAACGAATCGTCTGCTTTCTCTAATAATTTAATGAAACGTCAAAACTCCCGCGCTTTGCGCGGGAAGGGGAAACTTAATTCAGACGATAATTAAGAGTCGAGAACAGTACACCCAATCGTCTGCTTTCTCTAATAATTTAATGAAACGTCAAAACTTCCGCGCTTTGCGCGGGAGGGGTAAACCGATTTCAGACGAAGATTAAGAGTCGAGCACGGTTTAACAAATCGTCTACTTTCTCTAATAATTTAATGAAACGCCAAAGCTTCCGCGCTTCGCGCAAGAGGGTGAAACTGAATTCAGATAAATAGGTTTATTAAGGGTCGAAAACGGTACATCGAATCGTCTGCTTTCTCTAATAATTTAATGAAACGTCAAAACTCCCGCGCTTTGCGCGGGAAGGGGAAACTTAATTCAGACGAGAATTAAGAGTCGAGAACAGTACACCCAATCGTCTGCTTTCTCTAATAATTTAATGAAACGTCAAAACTTCCGCGCTTTGCGCGGGAGGGTAAACCGATTTCAGACGAAGATTAAGAGTCGAGCACGGTTTAACAAATCGTCTACTTTCTCTAATAATTTAATGAAACGCCAAAGCTTCCGCGCTTCGCGCAAGAGGGTGAAACTGAATTCAGATAAATAGGTTTATTAAGGGTCGAAAACGGTACATCGAATCGTCTGCTTTCTCTAATAGTTTAAGGAAACGTCAAAACTTCCGCGCTTCGCGCGAGAGGGGGAAACTGAATTCAGATAAATAGGGCTTAATAAGAGTCGAAAACGGTGCAACGAATAGTCTTCTTTCTATAAAAATTAAATCAAACGTCTAAGCTTTTCGAGCTTCGTGCGGGAAGGGGAAACTGAATTCAGACGAGAAATAAGAGTCGAGAACAGTACACCCAATCGTCTGCTTTCTCTAATAAATAAAGGAAACGTTAAGGCTTCGCGCGAGAGGGGAAAACTGAATTCAGATAAATAGGGCTTATTAAGAGTCGAAAACGGTACAA